TCATTACTATTATTATTTTTAAAGATTTACTTTAAGTGGAGTTCATATTCCTGGAAGTATGAAGCCACTGGTATTGTCATAACTATTATTCTGAAAAAAATGTGCATTGAGTTGAGTCCTAGAAGAGAACAACATCCCAAGACAAGAGATATAATTTTATAGCTTTTATTGCTTTTCTTAACATTTTCCAAACGGCAGAAAGTCATGGTTATGCTGTTCCAAACTATTTTTGTTTGAGGTTCAATTCATTTCAGCTCCATACTTTGTCTTTTTTTGGTTTGTTTTTGTTTTTTTTCATATAATGTTAAAAAATGAATACATGCTCTTTTTGTTGTTGGGATATTATACATTCAAATGTTTAAAATGTCAATAAAAAGACATGAAACTTATTTTTGAAACTCTGTTTCACTGATTTATTGTCAAATTTTTCGCACTCTCACTCTGGACACAAACAATGCTTTTTGACTATGAACAAAATGTAAAGAGGTTAAATAAATATGAAAATAAAAGACAAATAAAAGACGAATAAAAAACTGCTCTAAAAAAGTTTGACAGGTTCACAGGTGCCTGGTACCTGTTTACCTCACAGAAGGGAGCAAACCAATAGGGGGCAGTGTTGAGCGTGATGTCACTGTTTCGGGGCGGAAAATCAGACATTTAGGTTTATCCATGAGATATATAATTAAATAAATATATAATGGAATTAAGGAAAAAGTTATAAATGAATCCCGTGTTAACCTGGGATGACCTGGACCTTTTTATAAAACAACCCTTTGTTTAGTTCATGAAAATAAGCTACTTCTAAAGAATTATAGCAGCGACTGTTGGAAACATTAACTTTATTGTGGCGCCACTTCTTCTTTACTCGAAACCTTCTCATTAAAATGTTGTTTCTGTAGTTTACACAATGCAAAACCATTTCCCTCCTCTTTCTTGCTGATGTATTTGAATCCTCATAACAATCTTTGACCTTTGACCTTACTGTTCATCACGGTTCTGTTTAAGGTCAATGTTACTGACGTTATTTAATGACATAAACACAGACAAAATGTTTAAATGCTGTGATTAATGGTACACCAGCATTACGGTGGGTTATGCATTGTCCAGTTTTGCATCTACAGAGACAAAAATGTCTTTCACCTGTTTTATTTGAGCTATTTTAAAGGTTAAAAATGGTCGATCCTCCCGATATTTGCTCGATTCCACCACATTCACAACAAATATTTGAAAGCCGTTTGATTTAAGTGTCTTAAATAGGTCTCTTTCGTGTCATTCATATGTGAATGCCTCGCATAAATGATCAACAGAGCCATCACAGCACTCCGAAAATGCTAAAAGATGCCAAAACGTCCCTTTTCCTGTTTTTTTCTGCATAAACATGTGTGAGTAAAAGCCTCAGGTCTGGTGGACGCTTGTGTTCGGCCCCCCTCCCGTTTCCTGTCACTCCAGAGTATAAAACCTCATCGCAGTGATCGTGTATCACAGCATCTGTTGTTGCTTTCCGTCACACCGATGAGCGACTTTGTGATGAGTGACGACCTTAAACGGTCCGGCGCCTCTCTTTGTTCAGGATCGTCACCTGAGTATTTAATTTTCTGAAGTTTAAAAAAAACAATCATCTTTGAGCCACCAGGCAATGGAAGGGCACTTAGCGCACTGCTAATATAACAGTAATTAAAGATGTGAACGCTATAATGTCCTTTTGTGTGGGGTTAAGCACAAGTGAGGTGTCAGGAACCCTAAATACAACAAGTTTTACCCCAAGAATAGAGGACATAATATCAAAATAATCCACCCAGAAGCATTTTAGATCAGACGGGGAGCCATGACATTTGGACATATATCCTCAGGATGCAGGACAGGTGATCTGTACTTTGGAGAAATGGGCCCATATATGACCTCAGATTGAATTAGTCCAAGACGAGCACAGGAGGTGGCGGATCAAATCCTCTCTATAGCCTGTTCCCAGGACTATATATATATATAAATATATATATAAAAATAGGCCCTGCAGGACAAAGGGCTCCTCAATAATAGACCATGTTGCTGTTTGTGTAACCGGAGTCGGAGGGTGCGAGCTCACCGAGGCGCTGCCAACTGGAGGACAAACTCTGGGCAGCCATTGGCCAATGGGGGGGGGGCCCAGGTGCTATAAGAGGCCAGCTCACCTGGTGGGGGGGTTTCTTTACAGGAGGGAATTCGTCCATGGCCACCGTTGTTCCTGTGAGTATCTCTGTGTGTTTCTCAATCCCAAACCCGACTAAACGGGCTTTTGGCTTTGTGGTGGATTTAAACTGGAAAAAGATATTTCACAGATAAAGCTTCTTTTTTCACAAAAATTGATTTGGTGATATAAATGTAATATATTTATTAACTATCAATCTAGATCGATCTCTGTTTTTTTTCTAATAACCATGATTGTAAACACATCAATTCTGAGAAACAATACGGTATGAATTTCCCCCATGAGGGGTGAGAGGAGCGGAGTATTTCCTGTTTTTATTTCTACAACCGGAAGGTTTCTGGTTTAAGTCCCGGCTGGTTCTGTCTGTGCAAATCGGGGTTCTCTGGACTGATGTTTGTAGAAGTGTACAAAAGCAGCTGTAGAAATGATTGTACCTTGATAAATACAATTCTAAAAGATGTTGTAATTCTATAACAGCAGGATTTAGTGGTTCTGTTGATAAGAACATTACAGATTTCACAGGCTGACCTTTGTTTATAGTGAATTATGACCTCTGAAACAGAAACAGCTGAAAAAGGGTGGAAGTAAAGATGTTTTTTCTTATTTGAGAACAGTTTAATAAGCAGATTTATATATATTCCTGGAAACATCTGTCCACTCAGCTACAATATTAAACATAGTCGTGTAGAAATATTTATACTTTGTACATTATAATCAAAAGTCTTATACTCATCTATTTTCCATTGCTCTATTCTTATAGGGTTTTTATTCCTGTTTATGTGTTAATAGTCTTTGTTTTCTGCTGTTTTGTTGCTCTGCTGCAACACGCGGATGTCTGTGGGATCATTGAAGGATTTTTTTTTGTGATATTCCGTCTGAAAACAGCGCATCTCACCTTCTCCCTGGGGAAAAGGGACCTTTAAACTATCAGAGACCTTTCAGTTGCTCAGAAAACAGGTGACAGATTAAACTGCGCCTGAGCTCGCGTGTCAGAGAGCTGTAAATGAATCCGCACACGTGAGAGAGACACAATTGAAAAAGGCGCGTGCATCCGGAGCGTGCACGGCTGATTGTGTCCCGCTGATCCAGAACGGCGTGCAGATAGTTAACACCTTTCCCACAATGCATCACTGCTCCCCCCCAGGGGGTCAAAACAAGAATTCAAAGGAAAATTTAACGCGTGGCTTTTATTCAATCTTAAACATCTTAAATAAACCTTCTAAATTCTATTTTTTTGCCTGTTACTTGATCTGTTTTAATACTTGAACCGTTTATTTGAATGTTTCTGTTCAATCTGATTAGAATCTGTTCTATT